CAAAGATCTTGATATTCAATGTCAGAGATCATGTTTTTTTTTTCTTTTTTCTTTTGAAAGGTTTCACCTATACATGGAGTTGCATAATTTGGTCGTACTGGAAAGCCTCATCCTCGCTTCATTGGTCCTTTTTAGATGATCGAGAGGTAGGCAAAGTTTTATATTGTTTGCCTCTTCCTCCAAGACTTGCAAGAGTACACAATGTCTTTCACATCTCTCTACTTCGATGTTATGTCCATGATGACACTCATATCATCCGATATGAGAAATTAATGATTTGAGAAGACTTGAGCTATGAAGAAGTACCAAATTGCATTTTAGAGCATGAAGTTCACCATCGATCAATTCCTTTTGTTAGAGTACTTTGGTAGAACCAGCTAGAATGAGAAGTGACTTTGGAGATTAAAGAACAGATAATCGTGAAGTACCCGCAATTGCTCCAGAACTAATGTATGAATTTGAGGACCAAAATATTCTAAAGAGGGTAGTATGTAAGAACCAAAATTTCTTTTCCTTTATCCCTCGCTATCGCAATCCTTGTCGCCTTCCCAAATTATTCATCATAAACTGACTTCCCTAAAATGTGATTATTTCCTTGTGTTCCTCAGTTCATTCTTGTTGCCTTTCCTTTCTTCGATACTTTACCGTCTCTCTCGTTTATTTAGGGAGTATCGGCGCTAAAACCAAGAAATCGCACTCACCCTTCTCTAGCCCCTTCATGCAGCACCAAAAAACGACCTAAACTTCTTTCTCCCTCTTATCTGAATCCTGAAAATACAAACATGATTAAAGATATTCATGAAGAAGCGGTGAGATTGTGTCTTTCAGAGTCCACTGAAACCCCTATCTTTCACCCCTCTTTTTTCCTCATTCTCCCTCGACCCAATCAAAGGCAGAGAGTTGACGCTCCCTCTCCTCCTCCTCCTTCCTTTATAGATCTAGTATTACAAGCTTCTTCCTTCTCCTTTATTTCTTTTCTTTATATTATAATGCAAGGCGCACACACACAGATAGATAGATATATATACAAACAAAAGAAAGAAATGGGTGAAGTATGTCAACGGAAGAAGGGTAATTTGGTCCATAAGGGACATGAACACATTACCGACATATGAATACAATATTTCCTGATTTAAATAGAGAGAGAAACTAATCCCCAGCGGAGTCACCAGAAGTTGTAAGCACAATTTTAGTGGGGGTCCTGTGAAAGCTGTTGGTCACAGGAATTGGAATCCCGCCACCCGCTTCGGAGGGACATTTATTTTACATATATATATATATATATATATAATTAGTTTAAAATATTTGTGTGCATTAGTTAGCTTTTAGAAGTTCGACATGTGTAGAATCGCATCGATTGAACTACTAAATGATTTGGAGTGTACTCGCCCATCTCGAGGTAAATAATTATTTTTTTATTAGGGGATAAACATACCCTTTCTAGCTATTGGTGTTATCCTTACTACTTGTAGTAGATTCATAATTATTTTACAGGTTGACAGTCATGCCCATGATGCTTATGCTTACTATACACAAGCCCATCGGTCCAGCTAGCCACTTATGTATAGTAAGCATATTGCATATATATTTACTTTTGGACAAACGTGAAATGTTTGACGTAGTTGTATGTAGGTCGATAAAACTTATTTGATATTGGCTAGCTGGACCGATGGGCCTACATTGTGAATCTTCAAAAAAGAATCATCAGATTTCTTTGAGTTGGCATTGACCTTACCGATTTCAGGGTGTCTATTAAACACAACTATATAAATATAAATTGAATTTAAATTGAATAAATTGTTATGTATTAATATGGTTTATTGGATGGAAAATAATTGCATATTCATACTTGAATATGTTCATATTTCAATACTCCTCTGATTTTATGATATTTTGTATGCATAATTGTCTCTCTTTGTTGATCATATTGCACACCCTAATTTATTTGTCATTTATGTTTTAATAAATAACTATAATTATTAAGTTTGTCTGTCAAACTCACTCTTTGATATTTTTGCATAACATGATCTATTCAATCATTACTAGACCATCTCTATCAAAGGAGCCATTTCAATTTAAGATTTCTTATTTTTGTTATTTGTTAGCATTTGTTTTAGTGATTATATATTTCTTTTTGGGTATAGTCAGTCATTCACTGTTGTCATTTCAATTTTGATTCAATCAGGTTTTTGTTTTTTCTTTCAATTGTATCAGTGAACTATTAATTACGGAATAAAATTTATATTTGCTTTTTTATTCCAGTTATTATTTGCATATAATCTCTTTTTTTAGAATATAAAACAGGTTCAATTATATCATCAGGCACTCCATTGTCAGAGTGTACTGTCTTCCAAACTCGAGGTGTGACATTATGCCTCTGAACTATTGAGAAGAAGCTTTATATAAAGCAAAATAATGAGAAAATTGAACAAAACAAGTTTTTTCTACAACCATATATTATATTCTCAGGTTTGTGGGTTAATTTCTATTCTACTGTGACTGTGTGAGAGATAACAACTTAGCTTTCTTTAATTTTAAAATGTAACTCCAAAATACTTGTTTGTGTTTGAATGCTTGCATCCACATGAATTGCTCATGCATCCATCTACTGGCATTAAAACGTCTTGCATTCTTATATGAAAAAAATGGATTTTCATTTTCTACATCTACAACGCCACTACTAATTTTTTTATGTATAAATAAAATCCTAGAGCCATGAACATTATAAACATATCATAAAACCACAACAAGACATTTATTTTGTGGAACAAAACAGTAAAAAGGGATACATATATTCCACACAATTCTTATATATTAACATATCTAAAACCTAAACTTTGATATTTACATGCATCTTATTGAAGTCTTTAACATCATATCAAAGATATCAGTATTGCTAACATTTTAAAAGTGATACACATTTTCATGGATAGAACTATAACATCAAGTGCTATAAATGTAAATATCTTAGTTTGAGTGTTAGATATGTAAATACATAAAAATTGTGTGGTATGTATATAGATTCCCCTAGTAAAAAGAAAGAGAATCAAACCTCAGTGCCAAGTCTTTTGTTCAGGGCTTCATTCCACAAATTAGACGCATAATCTGGCATAACTTTGCTCCACAAAATCATACCAGAAGCAACCTAAAATAAATAACAGATTCAAATAAGCTTTGATCTTTTCTCAGTTTTCTTCAGCAAATAAAGTTAGGCAGACTACCCTTATTCTACCTACAAGTAGCAGATAAGCTTCTATCACTATTGGCTAAACGAATGGCACACCAAAATATGTTGTTTAACGTATGACTCCCAGAATCCTAACAATGCAATTTTATATCAATCATCAACGATTCTTTCGGCCAGATATTACAACTGGAAATACTCAAAACGTCATTTAGAAAAAGGCAAAGTTACATACATACCACACAATTCCTTTGTATTTACATATCTAACAGCAAAAGTTTGATATTTACATTTATCACACCATGGTGTACTAAACATATGCATGAAAAGATGCATTCTGTCGAGAATTGTATCTTTTTTAGGGTTCTAATTGTAGATAGAAAATAATGAAAGGTTTTTTGTAAGAACATTGTAAGGTTCTATATAAGTTTAGGTCATTAATGAATATAATAAGTTATCAGAGTGATTACTTTTTTATGGTATCCGAACCCTAACCTAGCCGTTGCTGATGCTGCTCAATCCCACGAGTTGGGGTTGGTATATATAGACCTGAAACTCCCATTTTTCCTCTCCCTTTTGCTTCGTCCACGTGAAGCAGACGTGACTAGAGTTGACTGGGATGGTGATGATGGGATAGCGGCATGAAACCTCGGATACAGTCACAATTAGAGCTAACTAGAACGACAACGATGGTATCACGACATGAAATGGGGATGAACGCTCGTGATACAGTCGCGATTTGAACGAGTTGGAAGTGGATGGCATGCATTCGGGTTGAACCGCAGGGGACAGCGCGACTATACAGAATGGCTCAGTGCAAGGAGGATTGATCAAATGGAAGAGATTGCACTTTCGGCTATTGGATAGCGACAAAGTAGTTCGAGTGGCTCGGTGCAGGGCAGGGGTGAAGCGCACGTGAAATCAGAGCAGTGGGGGAGAGAACTTTAGTTCTGCGTGCATGAGAGGATGATGAAGGCTGGGGAATAGTTAAATTGAGGATGTCAGGAGACGAAGATAGTGTGGGAGATAAAGTATTGGAGCTTTTGGGAAAGATAGATCTTGGAAGTTTAGAAGATCTTGATCAAGCTCATACAGAAAGCTAGCGTCTCAATGGAATTCACTAGCTTGGCAAGTGCTCAGATACAGATGAAGCTAGATCACTCTCATGTGAATCTGAAGTTTGATGGACCGGTCACGTATCTGAGTTAGTCACGTTGGATGGAGACTGCTTTAGTAAGGAAGAGACTACAAAGATATTTGATGAGAGTCAAGGTTGAGCCAGAGGGTGATAGTGCTAGAGGGGATGAGTGGAGGACCACACACGCCTTACTTTACACCTAATTTTTCAACTCAATAGTTCCATCGATTGCCTTATCAATAAATGATATTTGAAAGGTGAAGAAAATCTGGGCAAAGATGAAGAGGACCTATGCTGGGACTGAGAATCGCATCAACGTGACATAGAGGCAGCGATACAATGTGATAGATCGATTTAAGAGTACTCCATAGAGCTAGAGCGATAGTGGCAAGATCCTGATTACTTCTAACCTATGTCGAGCTGTGTTGATCCAGGTACAAGGGGGAGATCTTTGCACAAATGAAGACTATGTAGTTTCTGGCTCATCCGAACCTGCTTTTGATCCGAGGAGATCGATCCTCCTAGCCCAGACAACGATTCCTTCACTGGATGAGGCCATCACCGCAATGATACAGGAGAAGAGTCACATGAGACTACACTCTGAGCCGAGTAGAATTTCAGGTATGCGATCAAATTCAGCTGCCTCAAGCTCGGATATGATTGGTGCCTAGGGGGAAAACTGAAGGTGTTACAACTATGGAGAAGTGGGACACCTGAGAAAGGCTAGTCCAAGCTACCCAAAGAGAGGGAGATGAGTGGACGTGGACAGTCTACAAGCAATGGTCATAGTCGTGGGGTCCAAAGGGGTGGAAGAGAGGGCTACTGAGAAAATTTGATGGTAGTGAGGGACAAGGGAGAGACAAAAGTGGATTTATCGATGAGGATCGTGAGTTCTTGAAGAAGTTGAAGAGGAAGTAGAGAGCAGCAGATGATCTGACTGAGGATTCATCCACTTTATCATCATCCAAGGGGAACGCTATTACTTATGCTCACTCAGCCAAATGTACTCCTGATACACATGCTCATGCTTATATATCCACCACAAGATCACCAGAATAAATAGCAAATTCTGGTGCATCTCGACATGTGACAAGTACTGCTAGCGTGTTTTCTTCCTATATTTATATAGGAGTTCCAGAGTGCATTCAAACTGCTAAAGATACAACACAACCTGTGGTTGGTAAGGACACGGTGAGGTGTATCAATTCTCTGGCTATGCCTAATCTTTTGCATGCTCCTTCATTTCCAGTAAACCTTTTATCTATTAGCGTTATTATACTCCAACTAAAATGTATTGTTTCCTTTGATATTCCTAAGGTAATCTTTGAAGAAAAGGGAACTGGATGGAGACTAGAGACTGACACATGACATAGTGAACTCTAGTACTTGGATAGAGAAGAGATTGACTCATCCTTGACATCCATGATAGAAAGTTCTTGAGTAGGAGGATCTGGGAGGAGTACAAAGGATCTATTGTTGGTACATCATAAGTGTATGAGACACTAATATCTGTTTTTGTATGAAAAGGCAAATAAATAAAAATTTGTGTGTATTGCTTGTGAGTTTGGTAAGTATATTGGGAGCTTTTATGTTAAATTTGGTAATAAGAATTCTTGTGTTTTTTATTTGGTGCATTTAGATGTATGCCGACCTTGTTCTACAACTTTGAATTGTCATAGATATTCTGTGACTTTCATTGATTGTTTCTCTTGTGTTAATTAGTTATATTGATAAGAAATAAAAGTAATGTGTTTGTCTGCTTTAAAGACATTCTCAGGGCGATTCAGACTCAATAAAGTGCAGTAGTGAAGGTATTGAGATCTAATAATAAAACAAAGTTGACCAACAAAACGTTCATGTCATACACACCAGCATAAACAAAGTAGCAGAGAAGAAGAATAGGCACCTTCTAAAGGTAGTTCGAAACATGATGATCTCGATGAAGTCCCAAAGCACTTGCAGGGACAAATTATTTTGACAGTCACTCAATTAATCAACAGAACACCCTCAAGGGTGTTGTAATAACAATCTATTTGTGAGTTGTTGAAATGAGATAATGACGGGATCCTCCCATTGAAGATATTTAGTTGTATAAGTTTTGTGAATGATAATAGAATATCAAAAGGGGAATTGGATATAAAGTGTGTTTTCGTTTGTTATTCTGCCACCATAAGGGGTATATGTTTGTTGGAGCCCAATATAGAAGAGACGGTTTGTGAGTATCGATGTGATTTTTAGAGAATTTGAACTTACTACGCCTTGGAGGTGACCTCACCCTTTAGTGACTCACCAAATACTAGAGATATGAGGCGAGAGGGAAAGTGTAGTGATTTTGAGAGATTGGTACATGTGGGAATGATGCTTTCTCCTGTTGTGTGAGAAGGATCGACTGAGGAACCGGAAAATGAGCTCAAATATAGTGGGATTCAAGCCCAAGAAGAGCTGAGAGTGTATATATGAAGGAGAAAGTAGAATGAAAGAGCAGTGCCTGTAGTGTCAACTACACTGGTAAGTCCTTGTCCCAGTCCACCCCAACTCCTAAATCACCTACTCCACCCAACTCAAACTTAGAATACGCAGGTGATATGATTCTTATTCCTTCTACTTCTAACTTCGTGACTTTAAGGAGAAGCTCTCATAAGAATACAAGACATTCTCCTGTTCCTTTTGGGTGGGAATGTGACAATGCTCAGTTTGTTTCATGCATTAACATATTGCTTGTACATGGAGCATTCATTTATCTTTGGGCACTGTCTCTATACTCTAGTGTTAACAGGTAGCTAAGGAGGATTTTATGTGGAAATTGGTCATGCATGAAGAACTTGGGGTTCTCGATAAAAGCTAAACATGGGAGCCAATACCACTAACACCGGGGAAAAGAGCAGTTGGGGTTCTCAATAAAAACCAAACATGTGAGACAGTACCACTACCACTAGGGCAATTGGGTTCAAGTGGATCTTTACAGTAAAACAAAATCCAGATGAGAAAGTGGAGCATTAAAAAGGCACGATTGGTGGTGAAAGGGTACAATAGTGCGTATGACATCGACTACGACAAGACATTTGCACTAGCAGCAAAAATGAGAAGAGTGAGTACGTTGGTTTCTCTGGCAGTGAATGATAGGTGGAGGTTACACCAACTAGATGTGAAAAATGTGTTTCTTCATGATATGCTACTAGATATGTATATGGAGATACCAGCAGGATTCGAAATTCGACAGATATGAGGCAATGTGCGTAGGCTCAAAAAGTCACATAATGGCTTGAAAAAATCTCCTCGAGTCTATTTTGACAAGTTTATAAAAGCGATGGTGGGAGTGGGATAATGGCAGTCAATGTCGGCCATACGATATTCTTTAGTCAAAATGGAGGTCACATCACTATGTTTGCTATGTATGTTGATGATGAGGTGGAGATTGCCCAATTAGATATAAAGATTGGGCAAAGAAGTTAAGGTAGAGAACTTGAAAAGCTCAGGTACTTCCTTGGGACCAGAGAGGATGGTCTTGTCTTAGAGGAAGAATGTACTGGATCTCCTCACAAAAACAAGCATGCTTTGATGCAAGCCTCTAGTCTCTCCAATTGATTGGAAGGCCAAGCTGAGTGTAGAGACAGGAGAGCCAATCGATCGTGAGAGATACAAAAGATTGGTGGGTTGTCTGATATGAATCACACCTATCCCGACATCTCATTTGCAGCGAGTGGGTGAACCGCTACATGCATGATCCATAGATCAAATGAACGCACTGTATCAGGTACTGAGGTGCCTGAAGAGTGCTCCAGGGAAGGGGTTGATTTTCAAAAAGAATGAGCATGTAGGCATTGAGAGTTTTCGTGACTCTAATTGGGCGAGTTGTGCGGATAACAAAAAGTCCACATCAGGATACTGCATATTCGTAGGGCGCAAATTGGTCTCTTGGATGAGTAAGAAACAGTCAGTAGTAGCGAGGTCAATAGCAGAGACAGAGTACAAGGCAATGGATTTAGAGGTTGTCAAGATATGGTTGAGAGCCTTGTTGGTAGGGCTCAAATGAAGTTATGATGCAACAAGAAGTCAATACTTAGTATTGCCAACAACTCAGTGCAGCACGATAGGACCAAACATGTGGAGATTGACAGATTCTTTATAAAAGAAAATCTGAATAACAGTCTACTGGAGCTAGGTCATGTAGCCACTGGAGAGCAAGTGGCTAACTGTCTCACCAAAGGACTTGGCTAATTAGATTTTTTTAGATTATGTGACAAGATGAGATTAGTGAATACCTTTTGCCCATCTTAAGGGGGAGTGTTGAGATTTGTATTTTTTTGATGTTCTAATTGTAAATAAGAAATATAGAAGGTCTAGGGGTTAATTTTAAGAACATTGTAAGGCTTTATATAAGCCAAGTTCATTAATGAATAGAACAAACTATTTAGAGCAATTACTTCTTTGCACTCCACTTTTAAAAAGTTAGTAGTAGAAATATTTTTAATGTGATATTAAAAACTAGAGTGTTAAGCATGCAAATATGAAAGTTTAGACGTTATATATGTAAATACATGAGATTTGTGTGCTATATAAGTAAATGTCCCCTATGAAAAAAATCAAGACAACGGATGATTCTGAGCATCATAACAACACAATTTTATATGACTCTTCAACTTGGACTTTTTGATCTTAATGATTGTTTCAGCGTGATATTACAACAGGAAATACTCAAAACTTCATTAAGAAAAAAAAAATAAAGACAACGATAAAAATAAATTGAACAAACATGAGCAAGATAAGCAATAATATTTTCTGGCAACTTCTAAGTCTCCCAGCGACCATGTTCATTGTTATGTAAATAAAAAAAAGGGAAATTTACATATGTAGCATGCAATTCTTATGTATTTCCCATGAAAATGTGAATTTGACTTTTAAAAAGTGATAATACTGCTATTTTTAATATAATATAAAAGATTTGAGTACATTGTGTGTAAATATTGAAGTTAGGGGAGATATGTAAATATATAAAAATTTTGTGCTATGTATATAAATGCCCCAATAAGAAAGTGATTGAAAACTGAAAACAAAGAATAAGAGAGAAAGAATCACTGTACCAACTGTCCATCCAATGGTGGCGGGTAGTTCCCGCTCATAGTATCTATCCAACTGAAGATCATATTATGGTACCCATAAGGCTTTCCATCCATGCTTCTAGCATATTCCCAAGCAGCACTAATGTTGAATTTGGCTCGAAGATTTGGATGCAAAGGAAGCAAAGCAATGTGCGGATCCGAGTCATCTTTGTTCAATTCGAAGGCCCACCATTCCTCCCATGGCAATATGGCGATGATATCTTCTCCCTGTAAAACAAATGGTAAATTTTAGTCTCATAATATTAAACTACATTATGAGAACAATTCAGTAAAACCCCAAACAGAGAAGCAAATTCAATGATATGTTACGGATAAAAAATAAAACCAAACCATGGCGGCCATACAACAATGACTTTTTGAAAATAATTATTCCCTTTCTTTTAAGTTTTAACCACAGATATTCAGTCCAATAGTTTCTTATGTTCTTACAAGAGTACGTCAAATTTGTTCCTTTTCTCTCTAACCCCTGTACCATATCCAAATTTGTAAATAAATTGGCCATCAACTATCTTCCATAAAACAAATTTGTGTTATTTGCTTGATTCACTTCCTTTTGTTTGATTAATAATTTGACACTAAGGTGATTCTTTTAACAAAACTTTTTGCCTAAGAAAGATAAACATTATTTCTTAAGATTATTTTATATATCATTCTTTTTTTTCCCCGCATGTAAAATCCATTTTGCAAATAGAAGACATTTGTAAAAAAATTCAATATTATATAAGAATATTGCAAGCAAAATTCAACCAAGCGCTTTCCTTTTATGGTGGTCAACCGCCTCTTCCTTTCTCTCTCTCTCTCTCTCTACCTTTATCCTCTAGTCAACTCAATCTTAGGCTTCCCATATTTAGAGAACTTAAAATACAAGCATCCCATCTCTTAATTAATCAAACAAACTAAAGGGATGTTACCTTGTTGAGTAAGATAGAGCCCAGACCACTACTCCGTTTGGACAATTTTCGTACTTATGGAATATAATTAAAGTATTTATTTCTTTCATAATTTCCTCGCTCCCACTTCTTCATTGGATTCACGAATCAATTTTTCCACCGTTTCTTCTTCTAGATTCGCTAATTAAAGACTGCCTTATTGGGCTTTTTAGCATGGTTTTAAATTCATGCATCGCAAGCAACCCAACTTCCTTCAATTTGCTTCGTCGACATTTTGGCTTACGACAAACTCCTCCCATTGTGATTTTCTTCGGCGAGTAGAGGGCGCAGAAGAGTTACGGTTTAGAATTCCACATAGCAAGGTGTGAGGCTTCTCCATCCTGATTCCTGCGATTTTTTCTTCTTCTTGGTTAGCTCTCAGGGAGACCTAAAGAGAGAGAAGGAGAGAAGAGAGAGAGGAAGAGAGAGAGAAAATTATTCCTGTAATCGTCAAGGCGATCGACAACAGTGTGAATTCTTAAACCAATAAAATCCTCTGCAAATCCGTAAGTGTAGGCAATTTGTCGAATCACGTATATATGTGTGTTCTTTTTCTGGTTTGCGAGTTTCTCGTTAAAATTTTTCACTTCATTACCGTCGTTTTTTTTTCTCAACAATCCTCATTCTTACCAAGCCATGAAATGCTCTTTAGTACCAACAAGAGTCTTCCACTTCCGCATCCCCTTCATATATATGCTCAAACAAAGAAAATTAATCTAAGAAAAAACAACAACGATTATTGGCAATGTGTTCCTAAGCTACACCCAACAATGAACATATGACGGGTCGGATACTTTTTAGTCGCAGACGTAACTCCTTTTGCACCTAAATAAATTCTCCTACAAGTCCATAAATATGACTCCAAAGAATGAAGTTAGGGCTTGCCTTTTGGATTATCAAAACCCGTTAACAAGAAATCTAAGCCTTGGATCATTAATCTTATTATGAACATTAAACTTTCTTACTGATTGATTCTACTCAATACAAAGCATGATTGTCTTCACCCGCTTAACAAGTCCATTAATGGCCAATCCAACATCTAATAAAAAAACCAGAACTAAAGTTATCTTTTATTGGATAAGCTAGAAAAGTAACAATAATATAAATCATTAGGGGCATTACAGGAGTTGCTAAGAGTCTTCTAGTGTAGATCTATCAATGGTTATATTTTCTAGAATTAATAGGAAATCACTAGAATGTACTTGTGATACTTTCATCATAAGGTACATTTCATATGCTATACTTTGAGATGGAAACATCAAATGCTACAATGAAAGACAATAAAATTTGCGTTGTGTTTAGAGTTGAGAGTAACATATGTCATCAGAGGGTAATGTAAGAAACACATAAAACTTGTATTCATCAAATACATAAGACTAGCATACCCTAAAAGAGTCTTTTTAAAGCACATTATAGTGGATTTTATCTTATTATCTTAGTAATTTCCAAGCACAAAAAAAATATAATTAATATATATTTTTCAAATCTTAATTTGTTTATGCTTGTTGATCCTATTACAAATGAGAGTATTATACCCTAAACAAAAAGAGTTGGCCATTGAATATTTAAGTTTTTTTCCTTGCGAAGTTTCCCTGTTTTCAAGTGTGATATGAAGAAGAGGCGAAAGAATTGGGTCGATCTCGCCATTTAATCGTCATATCTTTTTCTCTCTATTCTCTTCTTTATTATTACCTATTGGCTGTGCTTTGTAGTTGAAATTATTCATATATTCTACATATTTAGAATGGATTCTTAAACGATATAGGGCGTTCATGATCAAATATACTGTAGCTATAAATAAAATGAGAAACTTATTGCTTGTTTCACATCAGCCTATATTTCTTTTTCTAATGAATATTTGAAAATTATTGATTGTAAATAGCAGTGTTTCTAGTAACATTTGGATATATATATATATATATGTGAGACAGTACCACTAC